TGTTGTTGTTGTTGTTGTTGTTGTTGTTGTTGCCCATTATTATTGTTATTATTATTGTCGTTGTTGTGGTTGTGGTATTGTCTACATATTATCTAATCTGATTCGCCTTTCCAACTTTTATCTGATAGCAAAGAAAATGTTTACGGCTCCATTCTGTTTGCTGCTATCTAGATATAGGCAGCAAATCTCAGAATGAATCTAAAAATGATGATTATGTCATTTTTATTGTGACACAGGAATGTGATGGACTCTTTTTTTAGTTGACGGTTACATATATCCGTTTACATGTATCTGAAATTCCAGTTTACAGAATGAAACTAGCGCATCGTAGATGAAAGAATATAGGCCTATAGGGGAAAACAAGAACATCAAAAAAGATGGTTTAAAAAAGATTGTGTAGGGGAAACATAGCACAAAGTAGAAATGCTCAATTATTAATTGATAACTAAGCAATCCAAAATACGGACAGATACTGTTGTATATTTATACACGAAGACACACTATCGGATAAACGGGCAAACCGATTGAAAGACAGTTGGGTCCCTATATGCGAGTGACATGCACAGGAAGATGATAAGTAATACTAAATCAGAACCCACTGCAAACTTTTTTTGCAATTATCGGAAATTACACCCTTTTGTTATTGTTCTCCTTTGTTTAACAGTTCATGTATGTGAAGTAGTAATGGAGGTTACGGACACTAAAGAAAACTGTCTGTATACGTTTTGTTTGTTTTTTGTACCCCCTGATCTTTTTGTGTAAAATAATGTCCCTTGCAATGCGTGCGTTACTCTGGGCTACTGTTTGATCTCTACCGAGCTAACGACCCAATTACATGATTCGGGTCTATTCTTCCTGGCTTTTCGTCATAAATCTGTAGCGTTTTATTTCTGCTTTTGCGTAACTCTACCTTAATGTTTCGAGGAGATTACACGACCGAGAGGTAGAAATCAATTGTCTATTGTTGGGTGATTGTGCTGGTGACGTAGGATCCAATATATTTTTCTGCTCCTTTTTTCTTATCGTGAATTTCAACTGACTGCAGTACGCTGTGCGGATCATAGACGTACGATGTACCAACCGTTCGACAGTTGAACGTTGCATAAGAATGTACCGGGTCACATTTTGTGAACAGGAAAGAGGAATATCAAGGCGGGGTTTTTTTTTCTTTAAATATAAAAATGGTTTTGTTCTGTTTTGTTTCTAATAATGGAAGAATGTTTTGACTGGGAGCCACAAAGACTTGGAAAAAAGGGTTGTTAAATCAACTTTAAATGAGGAAACGAAAAAAAGTTTCCTTGGTTGACATAGCTTTTGTTGACTTGTCATTGATGACGAAGCTTTGGAGAGAGGAAGGATGCAGAAAGGGGTGGGGGTGGGTGGGTAGAGAGAGATAGATCTAGGGAAAAAAGAGGATTTCTAACCGAGATTACAAGGATGATACATCAACATGAAGGTTTTGAAAAACTCATATTTTGCCCGTGACAAGGCAATCAATTTCTGAGTTTATTTTTTTTTACAAAATTTTCCAGGGAAAATTTGAAGTATCACCCACGTCTCACGCTTTGCGATCGTTTTGTAAACAAATTAGCCAGGGGAAAATGTCTATCAATTCCACATCTAGTATACACGACATAAGCGCACAAGATGTATCATGCTTCGTGCACAACTGCAATGTACATACACGTACATGTACAATGTACAATATATGTGTGCTCATACGCGCACGTGCAAGCATATGCTTAGCCTACTCA